TATAAATGTTTATTTTGAGTAAAAACGATTGAGTTAAGTTACTTGAATACTTGACAATTTTGAAGATAAACTATTCTACTTCAATAGTTTTGTCTCCTTATCTTTTACACACACTCACACACACACTCACTCATTTAATCATATATTGTAGATATGAATTTAATCAACTGGAATAAATAATATAGATAGATAGATAGATGGATAGATGGATTGATTGATTGACTGGTTGATTGATTCATCTATAGTTCATTAGGTTTATTTGTATTACTTAACTATACTACACAAAAATACAAAAAAAAATCTACTCACTAATTATGCCCCATAGAAAACCAGAAGAGAAATGAAAATCTTAGTCAATAGAAAATAACAAGAGGAATATTATCAATATTTACGTCGATTTAATTTGTATTTCCAAAAATTATATGAAGATTCAGTAGACATTTAATAAATCTACTTTTATGTACTTCAATCAAGAATAGATCTGGACATAAACTAATCACTATTCTTTCGTATAAATTCTGTCTTCATAGGTCTTTTGTCATACTACAGTGTTTGTTCATGGTATTCCTTTACTTTGAATGCCCGCTCAGTGGTTTAGAGGTTAAGCGTTCGCGCACTCGAGACCGTAAGTCTTGGGTTTGAGTCCCGCGGATGGGATCATGAATGTGTTTTGCTGAGGAGTCTCACAATAGGATGAAACGGCCGTCCAGTGGTTTCAGATTTCCCATGATGGTGTAGGTTTGATTGACTCATGAACTCAACTATTAAATTAATAAACAAGTGTTTGTGGTTTGGAATACTTACAGTAGAATCAAATTAAATCATAAGATGCTTATTATTTAATGCATAGAATGAAAAAAACAAATGAAACAGGATTAAACAAAATCACAAACTTAATATCCGATGGTAAACATTTGTTACTGTGGTCAATTTATAAGGAGCCTCATAAGAGGAAAAGAAATACAGTCTAGTTTTTTATACTTTTCAATGTTACACTAACTGATACATAATCAGAAGGGGTTTTGTAGATACTGTAGTAATTTCCATGGTTGAGATCATGAGTCAATTGAAGCTAGACCACCATGGAAAACCTGGAAGCACTGGACGGTATTTTCGTCCTGTGTTGGGACTCGTGAATAGTGCGCATCCACGATCTTGCCTTGTGAGATTCGAACCCAAGATTTATCAGTCCAGTACTTCCAGATTTTCCACAATGGTCTAGCTTCAATTCACTCATAATCCCAACCCTTAAAATTGATACATAATCCTTGTTGTTTATCAATTACAAATTGTAGTAATCTTCAGAAAATTAGTTTATTTTAAAATATCCAATAGTCGTTTTATCATGCTAAAATAAATGAATTCAGACAGTAGTGTTCTGAGTTAAACTATTGATCTTGGAACTGAGTCTAATTAAATGGTAATGATTATTTCCTTAAAATATTCTCTACATACATACAAAGTCATGATAAAGTGTACTGTTTCATTGTTATTATATGTAAAAATTCAGTACTTTGTCTGGAATTGTTATCTTTTTATAAATAAATAAATAAATTCGCCAACTTAATTAAACCCAAACTGTTCAATAACTCGTGCAAGTTAAGCATTAGCATATAACATATAGTAATTTTAACAATCTCGATAGATATGTACTGTCAGAATGGGGGTTTTTTGTGGATATTATAGTTGAGTTCATGAGTCAACCGAAGCTAGACCAACATGGAAAACTTGGTACCATTAGAAGGTCATTTCGTCTTAATATGATACTCCTCGATTATGCGAATGCAAGATCTTACCCGCTGGGTTCGAACCCATAACCTATCGGTCTAGTGCGCAAATGCTTAATCTTTGTATATGGAGTGAACAATAACTTAAATGGGAACAATCAATTTACTGTGTAGTGTGAAATTACACAGTTTTTTCAGACAATGTGAAAACCATAAATTAAAATTTTCATTTGCAAATCTTTCATCAATTGTCTAAAATTTTATCGTCTCTTCATTGCTATTACTCTTTGTTTACATTCTTGTTCCCTTCAATTCGATCTTCTTAACGTTCAACTGTCAAGTATTCCACTTTCGATTGGTGTTACATATTATGTATGTCGAAAGATATATGTGTAGCATAAACCACAGACATATTCTCAAGCACGATTTCATCAAAAACAACAGTATCATAATTAGAGCTTATAAAGTACAATTTTTGAGTCAAGCAAAATTACATTATCAAGACTACGTATAAAAATATCATCAAACAAGAATATAATTCTAATATGGACATAACGTCAGTTAGGCAAGTTAGTAAGTAGCTAAAATTAGTAGCTTGGTAAATGATGCGTTGGAGTTCAAACCAAAAAAACGTAATTGATCCGAGTTCCGATGTGCATATCAACGATTAGCAGAAGCTGGTATATCTAGCTGATGAATTCTGAATAATACTCATTATACGTCCAAGATACTTCTGATAAACCATAATCCGTTCATTTCACAAGATAACGAGAAATAATCATTTTGAAAGAAAAGTTTTATATTTTTCATTTCTCACTTTTACATAATAAAAATCTTTAACTAAAAGTCATGGAATTTACAAAAATTATTAAATGAAAATCTTTTTTTCTCTGGTTAGCTCTGTTTCAGCGAGTTTGTTCCCTACGAGATCGGGTCGCTAACCTCATGCCCAACCCTCCTTCTTTGTCTGGGATTGGGACCAACAGTAGCCCCGGGGGGGCTCTAGGAGGACTTAAATGAACATCTATATTCCAGATGAAATTTCGGAAATGGGTTAGTGAAGTTTAATGATTTAATAAAAACTTAGTGAAAATAGTAATTATTTTTTAAATGAATAACTAATGTCATTTTGTAAACTGTTAAAGGATTGAAAAAGTGTTTCTAGTAAGATTATAATTTGTGGATGACTTTCAAGCCAAGCCATAATGAGCTTGACAGTGTCTACCTACTTATTAGGAGTTATAAAGGAGTTTGAAGAATATGGATTATAATTCACAGTTGATGGTTAGGGTTAGGTATTATATTTAGGGTTTCTATCACGAAATGACATCAGCCAAAATGACAAGACGCTATTTGACTAAATGGGTGAGTGAATTTCGTGCCAAAATCTAAGATCTGTGATCTTATGAATTATAGACTCATCGTGTTTCTTTTTAATTCAAGATTCTTCAGTCAGAATATGATCGCACTGATTTTTGAATGTTCAACATGCTTTACATATAAGTATCAACATGAATAGTAGAAAATCATGTATGTTAATAAACCTTTGATGTAATGGTGATGATCCAGTGAAAGTGAATTTTGATCTGTCCTTGTTGATATTTACGCATTATAAGTAAGCATCTTGATCTAGTTTTGATATATCTATTTCTTAAACTTATAAATTATGATAATCATTGAAATTCAAGATGTACATTTGATCATATTTAAAAATCATTTGTCGAAGGTACTTACATTTCATTTCCTAATTCTTCAAATGTTACTAATATTCTCTATTAATTTAATACATTCAGTTAGGCAGTAACTTGTTATATTAAGTTTTAAATCGAATCAAAATGATCATTATGAATCTCAATGTTTCTCATTATTTCAACAACAATGACAAAAACTATTTCAATAGTAGAGATCATGAGTCCATTGATACTAAACCCCTATGAAAAACCTGAAAGATCTGAACGGCCGTTTGATCCTATTGTAGGACTCCTCAATTCACTCATGATCTCAACTATTAAAATTACTATAATATCCACACAACCCCTTCTAATAAAGGAAACAAACAAACTATACTTCAAATTTATTTGCTGAGATTTTAAAAATACATTCTTCCTTGTTCATGTGTCATATTAACTTGGCGCCTATGTGACGACGGACCACCGGTGAACTCGAGGAAGCTGTAAGAGGCTCAGAAGGAGCCGAAGATGTTCCATCCAATCACCTTTCGGAAGAATGTTCTAGAATTCCAACGTGTAGCTTCCCGATTGGATAATGCTAATAACCCCCTGTATGCGGATTGGAAGACTGTAATGATGATTTCGTTCTCACTAAAAACTATAAATAACTGACAATTTTGTACTATGATTGACACTGTTTGGAATAATATTCCTTTCATTAGTCTTCTGTCTTCTTATTGCGACTTGGAAGGATTTTGGTGTTCTAGTGCTCAGTTATTATACGCGGTAGTATCAAGAAAAATCAACTTTTCAAGATATAACAGCCTAAAATACTGTGAAATGATTCAATCGCATTTAGGTAAACATTTGTCATCAGTTATAATAATTTTTTAATAGAAATATAACAATGATTAAAATACAAATGATAATTGACATCAAAATAACCGATGCCAATAATGATAACCGATATAAATAAAATAGTATAGAGAAATTATTAGTTCATTGGTAAATGGTGAATAGCAACAATAAAAAAACAACCCACCAACCAAACAAACAAACAATCTATTAAACAGTAAACTAGCTATTTCATTCCTTTTGATATAAATATACATTTGACAAGTATATATATATATTTACAAGCGATAGCTAGACACATACGCACTAGAGGAAAAAATAATTGTTACAAAGACTTTTAACTTGAATACAACATACAATTGGTTTGTTACCAATGTCGTTGATGAGAGAAACACATATACACCCTCTATATAGATTCATATATGTATATAATACTTACCTTTCTATAGTTATAGATGGTTATGTAAATGAAATTTTTTAGAAAAAAATCTGTATCTAGGATAATCCATGTTGAAAGGATAAAATAACTATGGGATATTTATTGTTTACTTTAATTCTATTGTAGTAGCTTCTTATTGTTTGAAAAAAAAATCGGTTCTCATCAGAGCCAATGGAATTGAATAGCTAAACACAAAAAACACGAATAAGAATCATCTTAGAGATTAATAAAATCATTATCATCATCGTCCCCAACATCGCCATCATCCCCATTAGTGCTCAGGGTTATCAATTGGTGATTTATACAATCAATAATAATAATAATAATATGCATATTATGCAATCGAATAAATATCGAAAATTTATTTTATTATGCGATAATGGATAATTGATTTGATTAGTTACAATCATAAACTTAATAAATTGCTTTATTTTCACACGTATATTGTATATCTTTAACGGATAAAGAAAATCAAAGGCTTTAACATTATTACATTCACTATTGAATTATAAGACCGACGTTTAATTCTATTTTGATGATATTACCCAGAAATTATTTCGATCCAAAAGGAGTTTATGTGTGTGTGAGTGTGTGTTTGTTTGTTTGTTTGCACTTTTCTTGATTCGTAATTTATGAATGAATGAATGAATGAGATAAAACAATGAACCGATTACTTTAGTGAATTATAGCCAACTAAATTTGAACTTTGTGCTATACATCCATTTAACATATAGATACATTATATAAACATTATGGATGCTAATAATGCATTGAAATTAGGAAGATTATTTCGTGTGCCTTATGGTGGAGAAGGTGTGGATTTTATAGATCAATTAAATTATCAATTTACAAGTGGTATAATTGTATTATTTATTGTTATGATTGGATTTCGTCAATATGTTGGTAAGTCCACATTTTGTTTGGAAGGTTTCTTCTGTTATTCATCCAATTATTAACATATAGAATATATTTATAAAGATCGAAATGATTGTGGAATAACATCAATTGTGATATCATTGGAGACCGTTGAACATTCTTTGACGATTTCAATAAATCAATTTTATATACACATACGTTTATATGAATTTTGAAAGTTTATTCTTTTCACAAAATTAAGTAACCTACTAAGAAAGTGTTATAAACATATTAGTGAGTAGATTATAAATAGAAGCTGTGACCTATGATGACTGAAGTTTTTTGTATTCAATAAGTTTGTTGTATTCGGCGTTTTCAGTCACTTTTCAATTCATTTAGTGAATGAGTACCGAGGATTTCGTTTCAAGCTTTTACTTTTAAAACATTGATACTTTTGTTCAGGCATGGTTAGTAAATAAGTGCAAATAACTTCAGACAACTAAAGTGAAATCTTTAGTAAGAATTACATTTCAATATCTAATATCCGTACATTAAATAAATGGAACTATTAGATAGACCACATTCGTTAAACAGGGAAAACGCTACGGATAATCTCAGCCACCTGTAATCTTGGATACAATTTAGAAACTAGGTAGTAACTGATAGTTGACATTTATAACGTCACATTTCGCATTCGAAGAAACACGTAACAAAAATTAACAACATACGATTTCCATTCACTTCTTTAATGTTTGAGTAAGTTTCTAACGAGTTTGTTTAAAATATACAAAAACTTAATCTAATTTAATTTCTTTAATTAGTTGATCGTAAAAATGATGCATTTCACACAGATAATAAACATCACCTATGAACTTGTTCAATATTCACAAAATACACATCAACTGAATTATAATATCCAGTTCACTAGTAACATTTGTATATTCTAAGAATTCTGGTGAAAAACTGTGAAATACTGTCACCAGTGATATTCACTGTTCATCAACCTATGTAGAAAATGAATTAAAGACGAAGGTCAACTCACTGGTTTTAACATTGACGGGTTCATTGCGATAATCAGGTATGATCATAGATTTGCACATCTCATTAGTCCCATACAAGGGCGAGAAATGTTTCCTTCCTCTCTGGTTTTTAATGGTATTCCAACTGATTATTCGAACATATAAACCATCATGCGTCAACTTTGCATACTTGTTACATATTGGATCCAGGTTCATAATGTTATCATAATTTTTGTTATTGATGACTAAGGTACTTTTAAAAGTTATGAATTTATCTATGATAGATCCAACTAGGCTTCACATACTTGCCACTATGAATTATTAATCACTGTAAGTGAAATCAATGTAATAATCCATATATCAAGATATTGTACTAAGTTAGTATTAGCGTTACAACAAATTTTCACCTGTTTAGATATGCTTTTGTCCTCATGTTGATTTATAAACGTTTGTGTAATGTTTTACGAAATAGAACTGAAATGATTCTTGATGTGATCAGAAACTCGATTAAGTAGACAATTATTATGTAATAAAGAAACTAGATTTTTCACTTATATAAACAAAGAAACTATTCATATTATTAATCTTGGGAAAATTACTTTCGTCCACTTAGATTATATTTAAAGCATGAACAACAACACTTTCCATCAGGATGAAATGAATCCATTTCATTAAGAAAAAATGAAGAATATTTGAGCGAACAATCGTTTTCAATAACTTCATCATCAGGCTCTACAGTTATTAGTCCATAATTATGATATTTTACAAAGGCCAAAAATAAGGCATACATTAATGAATTTGACAATGTTAAGTGATAGATGGTGAACGTTTGCATCTGTTACGATATATTTATGCTTCAAAATTGTGTTATTTGCAAATCAGAAAGGTCATTTAATGTAGGTCAGAATGATTTGGAGTAAAGTGTCCAGTCACAATCAGTAAAATAGTATTATACTGATTGAAATCATGAGTCGATTGAAGCTAGACCACCATGGAAAACCTGGAAGCACTGGACGGCCGTTTCGTCCTACTATGGGACTCCTCAGCAGTGCATATCCACGGTCCCGCACCCCGCGAGATTCGAACTCAGGACCTATCAGTCTCGTGCCAGGTGCTTAACCAACTAGAATAGTGGTGAAATTTCTAAAATCTCCACAAAACCCCTTCTGAAAATAGTATTATAGCAAAACTGAAAATGGGAAAAAATCGCATGAATAAAATACATAGTAGGAGAATTTCATCTTATCAATTAAGATAATAATAATAACAATAATAATATTTTTGTGTGAATATAATATGTAATAAGAGGGGTGTTACCAAGGTAATTACGACAAACGAATTGAGAATGATGGATGTGAAGATAAAGATAGAGGTAATAAAAAAGAGGGTAAGATATTTATAATATTCAATTTAGGTATCCGGTGATCCAGTCGTAGGCCAAGGTAAACATCGAGGCTGGATATACTTTTACTGGACATAAGTTTGGTCTTCTGGATTTGATCCAGATGGCTGGGGCTATGTAGAGCAATAGTAGCGTAGATAGATATTTTGGAAATTGATATAAAACGGAGAAAGCTTCCTCTATTTCGATATGATGTTCACTATCTACCAAGTGTGAAAGAATAGTGCTGTTAATCGATTTAGTAACTCTTTTTACCAACCATGCTGGTACATGTCCACAAACACGCAAGGATAAAGCCCGTTGAGTACGGCCTATGCAACCAGCTCCACAGGAGCAGTTGAATTGATATACACACATGGAGGAGCCCATCAGTGGTAACCTATCCTTGATTAGTTGTGTGAGTACTGGTCTAGTTGAGAAAATTATGTATAGCTTGGCGGCGTGAAACGTCCTTTCGACAGATCTTTTGAGTCGACGTGTTAAAATATCACACGCTATTTCCCCTTTAAAGTCTAGGTTTTTTTATTGACTGCGTCACAATTGATTCTTTTTTTAGTATTTTTTTAACGAAATTATCTGGATAGCCATTATTTCGTAATGTGTTCTTTAATATATCTATTTCGCCATCCTCACTGTCTTCAGAACACGATAACTTGATTCAGTGGTTGAGACATTTAACCAAATTTACTTTATATTGAAGAGGTGTGAAGCTTTTAGTTAAGTCATATTTAAGAAGTAACTAAAAGCTTTAAAAGTATTCTAGAATCATTTATTGTTATATCCCACTGAATAGAAAAATTTCTGGCGTTTCGTAACCTAATATAGGAAACTTCTTCAGAGTAACTAAACAATTATTAAGTTTCTAACCAATGTTAGTCTCAGATTGATCTCAATTGGGGTACCATTGAAAACCAGAAAGCATAGAAGAGCTGTTTTGTACTATTATAAGACTTTTCAACAACATATTCAAGGGTCTAACTCAGAACCTGCTGGTCGTCTAATGAAGGTGCACAAAAATTATCGACGAAAAATACAATCGTTTATTCTTTAGGTTGTACAAACTTTTTCTCTAACCAATGTAATTAGGTTAATTAGTTTATATTTTTTGATTAATCCCTTCCCCTTCGATATTATTTTTTTCATGTCTGATTTATGTAAAACATCTATATATTATATTGTATTTAGCGTAAATTAAGCAGAAAATCCAGATGATTAGTTTCTCAAATGTAAACCCTGGTGTGGAAATTACATAATATGTAACATTACAATGAGTATTGATCTGGTTCAAGAATATTCTCACCTCAAAAAACAACAAAGTAATTAAGTGTAAAAATGTTTACCTTATTAAATAATACGTCTTTAATATCATGACCATTCATGATCATACAAAGAAATTGGATGTAAACGGATGCGAAATTATTTAGCCGTTAAAGTATCGTTGCTAATGTGTGTCATATCTAGATAGAACAGATTTTCAGTACCTTTTCATAGTGTTAATTAGAATCTCAATTAGTTTTGAACTTCTTTGTAGTTTACACGTTACTTTCTAATCGAAAATGAACTGAGAACACTCAGTGTTCATTGAGAGTTAAATCATTAAATCATCATGTGTTTTGTATTTTCTATTTTAAATAATTGTGAATATTAGATGACGCCCATCCAATACTATTTCTATATTCTTGTAGTTTCCCTTTTACCAATCTTAGAATTCAGCTAGAACTTCAAGAATTCATCTAAAAGTCGGTTACTTTAATAGTTATGCGTTGACTGTTTTGTTTGAATACAGGCGATATGTACCAATGATAAGTTCTACCTCACCATAAAGTGGTTGTTTAGTATTTCCTGATTATCAACGATACTTTAGTCTAGAACCGTTAACAACAAAAACCGCTGACAAACCAAAAGGTTAATCATGGAAACGTACGACCTAAGTACACGGATAAAAGTAATATTCGTATAAATTTCTAATTAATCCAAAGGACTAATATAAAGAAATGGTCGAGAAAAATACTTTTAGACAAAAGATTGCACTTATTCATTTGGATTGAATTGTATATAAGTGAACAGGTCTAGAAGGGAATCACTCTAGTTTGAACTTGATAGGTAGGTGTATTTCCCTTAGGTATTTCTCTATCAAATGGGTCACTTGTATCGTTTATATTGAGTCTCTTACAATTCATTAGTTGTCAGTAATATACGTAAATACGATGATAAATATGTATCTAGTTATACAAACAGGGTTACGGGGTTCATAACAGACCACTGGAATTTTAAAAATAACATAGTTGTTTAACTTGTAATGAACTATTCGTTGACTGTATTATAAACAAATAACATCCTTAATGAATAAAAAGTCCAACTACTATGCAACAGAAGAAATTTAAAACGTATTTCCCTAGTTTAAGACAAATGAAAATCAAGAAACACTGAATAGGTATTTTGTCATAGTGTAGTAAACAAGAACACGAGTGGAGACAGCCGAACACGAAATAACAGAATATCTCAATAAAATCTGAGAATCATACAGTAAACAGTAAATTTACAAAATATCAGTCATTCGTCTCAAACTTGACTGTTCCGTTTGCAAGTCTCATTCCATCGTCTCAGATTTCACTGTTCGTGCATTT